AGCTGTCAACATCCCTGCTGTGCGACACATTTGCTTTCATCAAACCAGACAATACCTTCACACGTGGGTGAAGGGAGACATCGGACAGTGTAAGACATGAAAAATAATCATTTATAAATTATCAAGGATTCGTGAGAGAGGGAGGGGGAAAAATGAGCTGATACCAAGGGCTCAAGTAGAAAGAAAATGTTTTGAGAATGATGGCAACAAACGTGCTTGATACAATGTATGTATGGATTGTAATGAGTTGTATGAGCACCCAGTAAAATGATTTTTTTAAATGTGACTGAAGGACAAACTCAGAATGACAAGTACCCCGTGGCAAAAGCGCGCCTAATATCCATGAATGCATGCCATTCATATTACAACCAAAACAAACCCATCGCTAGCGAGTCAATTCTAGTTCATCGCAACTCCACAGGACCGAGTAGAACTTCCCTATCGAGTTTTCAAGGCTGCAAATCTTCATGGAAGCAGGAGCCTCATCTTTTTCTCACATTGCAGCTGGTGGGATCAAACCACCAACCTTCCAGTTAGCGGCCAAGCACTTAACCACTGTGTCGCCAGGGACCATATTACTTCCTGTTAGGTCCTCAGGTGGTTCAAACCATTTATACTCCACTACTAAAACGGAGCCTTGGTGGTGTGGTGGTTTCACACGGAGCTGCAAACCATGAGGCTAACAGTTCAAAACCACTAAAAACTCGGAAGGAAAAAGATGAGGCTTTCTATCTACTACCGTAGTTAGAGTCTCAGAAAGCCGCAGGGGCAGTTCTACTGACCTTTAGGGTCCCTCTGAGTCAGGATCGACTTGGCGGCAGGGAGTTTGGTTTGGGATTCACTAATCAACACACGTGGAAGCAGCAGTCAGAAGATCACACAATGCATTGCATTAGGTCAGTCTGCTGCACAAGACCTCTTCAAAGTGTTGAAAAGCAAGGAGGTGACTCTGAGGGCTAAGGTGTGCTTGGCCCAAGCCATGGTGTTGTTAATGGCCTCAGATGCATGTGAGAGCTGGACACTGCATCAGGATGAGCGCAGAAGCAGCGATGCATTTCACCGATTGGTGCTGGGGAAGACGACTGATCGCACCCTGCGCTGCCGAAAGGGGCCGCCAAATCTGCCTTGGAGGAAGCCCAGCCTTGGAAGCCAGGACGGTAAGACTTCCTCTCGCGTCCTTTGGACATGTTGTCAGGAGCGACCAGTCCCTGGAGGACCTCATGCTTGAGAGAGTAGAGGGGCAGTGAGAATGAAGGTGACCCTGGACAAAATGGATTGACCCCGTGGCTCCATCAATGGGCTCCAACATAAGAACAATTGTGAGAGTGGTACTGGACAGGGCACCGCATTATTCTGTCGTGCGTAAGATAGCTGCGAGTCGGAGCTGACTTGAGGGCACCTGACAACACTAATTGAATGGTTGGCAGTTCAAACACAAGCAGGGGTTGTGTGGATGAAAGGCCCGGTAGTTTAGTCCTGGAGGACGCTGTGGTGCGCAGTCCACCCGGGCGCCCACGGCCTCTCCGGGAGTTGGTATGTCTCTGAGGCGTCTGCTTTGGTTTGGGCCTTCATCAGGATTTCAAACCACTCTCCTCACGTTCGAGGGGCCAGAGGGACATCAGAAAACCCAGACTTGGCACTGACTAGCGTCAACAAAAGGAGCCTTGGTGGTGCAGCGGGCTAGGTGTTGGGCTGCTAGCCACAGAGTTGTTGGTTCAAACCCACCAGCTGCTCTGCAGGGGAAAGGTAAGGCTCTCTGCTCTGGCGAAGACTGACAACTGCAGAACACTCTGTACCAGGTGGGCTGACTTTTGAGACCAGAGACAATCCTGTCCCTTACAATAATTTAAAAATTACTCGAGAGCCAAAATCCATCTTGACAAATGACATCACCGTTCTCTGAGTAATATCCCATCCAGTGTAACTGCAGTCACATGTATGTACCGAAAGAGCCGCATAGGGCTCCAGAGCTGCAGTTTGCTGACCCCTGCTCGACGAGACCCATGTTCCCCAAAGTGGGGGTGCCAGCCCTGGGGGGCGGTGCAGGAACGGTCCAGGGGGGCCGCAAAAGCAGATACCTACCCACACGTTATCCTGGATTGTGAGCTACTGTACAAAAGTTTTTAATTGCCAGGAAGGAGCTAATTTTTACTTTTTCTCTGAAAAGGAGTAAGTAGATCAAATGAATTTGGGAGGTGATGAGCTAGAATTGATTCAGTGGCAGTGGGTTTGGTGGGGGGGTTGTTTGTTTGTTTGTTTCAGGCAAAAAGGGGAAAACATACCCGTAACCACAATGACACAACACAATGGCTCATTTTCTCACCAGACACATAAATACGAAGATCAGGTAACAATTTTATTCACAACTTACCAAAAAAGGGCCTTACAAAAACGAGTTGTATAAGAAAACGATAATTTACAGATGGCGGAACACAAAATCCAGTCCGCAAACCAGCAACGATGACACCGAAATTGGCACAAGCCACAACCCTAAAACAAACAACAAAGTCCCCCCCCCAACCCGTCCTTTTTTTTGGCCCCAAAAAACAAAAAAAAAAAAGGCAAGGCCGGGGGGAGTATCAACAGGGACCCTGTCATCTAAGGTAGAAAAACCTATATTCAAAAAACATATTCCATATGCACAAAGATCAGGAAACCCCAGGCCTTTTGGAAGTTGGTTTTCCAAATCACGCATCTGCGTCCTTTGTGGCTACGCTTCAGGGAGTTCCTGATCCAGCAGCTGGCCTCTCGAGTGCTGTAGACGTCACGAGAGCCCTGGCGGCCTGGTGGGTTACGCCACTGGGAAGCTAACCGCCAGGTCAGCTGTTTGAAACCACCAGTTGCTCTGTGGGAGAAAGAGGAGACTGTCTACTCAGTTACGTTCTCAGAACCCCACAGGGGCAGTTCAACCCTGTCCTGTCAGGTTGTCAGGAGTCGGAATGGCAGTGAATGTAGGATGTGCCAACCATGGGAAATGAAAACGCCCCCTCCCCCCGTTGCCAGGTGTTTGCAAAGAATAAAGAACAGAACATCATCCTGTGTCTCTGCAGTAAGAGGTGGTAGAATGGTCTTCTCTTGATAAAAATCTATGGAATCGGCTTTCACCCCTAAGGATTTTTCTACTGATCACAAGTGATGCCTGGGGAAGGCAGCATTCCCAGCCCATTGATCTCTCTTTCCTCAGCAAGTGCTGTCTTGCAAGTCAACCAGGACTCTTCCTGCGGGAGACATTCAGGTTACACAAAGGCACACAGCGCCGGCCCACCTTTGACAGCCCTGGTCCGGAAAAGGCTCAGGGTCTGATCACAAACAATGGCACAGGAGCAGGTGATGCCTAGTCAGCGCTCTCCAGGCACCTGTGGCCATTTCTAGACAGACTTCGTGAGGTCAGACCCTCCGTGTTAGTTGGTGTCCGAGCGGGAATTCTCACACCCTCGAGTTTGGAATCATTGGTTTGTGCTAGAGGAGGAAGAAATTAACCGCTCATAAAGGCTCACTCGGTTGACAGGGAAGCTGGTGAGGTCTCATGAGTCAGTTCGGTCAAAGGCAGAGAGAGGGAGAGAAATCCCCCCCATACACAGGCAAACTGATATATGCACACACTGAGCCATGCAGCCAGGTGCCCCATGGGAAGGGCTCTTGCCATCTCACTAATGTCTTGTAAAAAAGAGTCTTAGTGCTGCACTGGCTGAGCCCAAAGGTTGGTGGTCCAACCCACCAGCTGTTCAGCGGGAAAGATTTACAGCCTCAGCAAGCTTCTGCAGGGCCACTCACTCAGCCCTCACTGCCAGGGAGACCAGGCTGACTCACAGTGACCCCACAGAACAAGGTAGAACTGCCCCTGTGGGTTTCGGAGGCGGCAGCCACTAACAGGAATAAAGGGCCGTCTTTCTCCTGAGGAGCAGCTAGTGGGTTTCAAACTGCTGACCTTGTGGATCCCAGACCAACAGGTAACCACTAGGTGACTATGATTGGAACTGATTTGCCGGCGGTGGGTTTTGGGGGCTTAAGGTCCTGTAAAAGACAGAAAAGCGCGGGGCAGCCAGTGAGACGGCAAACCCAAGTGATTGCACATGGTGGGCTTCGATGCTGGGCGAAAGATGCTGGTTTGGGAAGGGGAAGAAAGCCTCAAGTCAAACGCCCCGCGTCTTTGGACGCACACCTAATGTTCACAGATCTGCCTGCGGGGGATCCCAAAGGCTCATGGGCAGATGGACTGACTTAGAAGCAAGCAGTATTTCCACGAGTTAAGTGCAGCCAATTTGAGAGGGCTGGTAATTGCCAGCTAACGGGAAAAGGCCAGATCTAGTCGGGTCGGTTTAAGCCAGAGACCAAACCCAACAGCTCCGCTGACTGAATTCCTCTCCAGGGATAAGGATTAGGAGCATGAAGCCACTCACAACTTTGGGACGGACTGGGCCCATTCCTTCAGGGTGCTGGGGATGAGCACCAAGCCAGGCGGGGCACTACAGGCACCCTGCTCTCAAATCCAGCTCAGGCAGGACATCGGGAGATGGCGGGGTTTAAGGCCCAATGGAAGACCACACTGGCCATCTGCCTACATGCCTCTTGTAGTTGGGGCGTGGGGGGCAGCCTCTTTGGAGGAGGGCCACGCAGTATCTCCAGGACTACCATTCATCTGGGGAACCTGGTACCCGAGCCTCTCTCTAGGTCTTTCTTCTGGGGGCACCGTGGTCTGAACCATCCACTTTTCAGTGAACAGTCGAGTGCCACCCCCAAAACCATGCCATTCACTACCACCCAGGTAGATGCCGACTCATAGCGACCACGTAGCATGGGGCAGGGGGCCGCTGTGGTTTTGGGAGGCCGCCACTCGTGACGGGAGTAGAAAGACGAGGCTTTCTCCCAAGGAGTGGCTGGTGGTTTCGAACCGCTGTACCTGCGACGAGCAGCCCCTAGACATAACCGACTAGGTCATCAGGGCTCCCAGCGAGTGTCGCCCAGGGGGCCCTTGATAAAAGATACAAGGAAATCCCATGTTTCTAAGGAGGAGACTCCTGGTGTTTATAACTCATTCCCCCAGGGTGGCCCTGGGAAAGGCTTGCACCATCCGCGGATTTTCACATGAATGGGCTCCTCCTCGTACACGCGTCTCTAGGGTACCTACACGGAGTGGTTTTATTTAACCTGGGGAGGGGCTGGGATGCCCTCTTCCTGGCTCAAGGCCTCATTCAGCCCCTTGGCCATTGGCAGCAGCGAGCAGGGAAGATGGAGGCTCGGGGAGAAGTGGTTTCTGGAACAGTGGTGTCCCCTCCTCAGTCAGTTTCATCGCATCAACCCAGGGTGTCACAGCAGTACCAGGTCCTCGGGGGGCCCCCAAGCCCACCAGCTGACATGCCGACCCAAGGGCTGCCATCAAATGGAAGCGCCGGCTTCTGAACCCATTGTGCAGGACAGCAGCAGCCACTGAGAGGGTGCCAACTGCGGGTGGGATGGTGGGGGGGCGGGGGAGGCGCGGAGCGGTCTCTGCCAGGAAAATGCCAATGATAAACTGTCCTCTGGGTGCTGGAAAGCCATGGTCAACGTGGGCGGGTGCCCGGAACGTGTCTGTTTCCTGTTCGATGTCCCCAACCTCGCGGGCTGCAGACTCAACCCCTCGGTCACCAAGACCCAGGCCTGTAGCAGGAGAAGCTTCTAGTTCAGATGGGAGGAGGAGTATGATGGGTCTCGGCATTCCTTGGGGCTGTGGGGTACAGCTGGCTTGGCTCTGAAGCAGACGGTCCAGAGGCCTACAGAGCTGTCCTTCCCAGACCGAGGCCCCGACTCGGCTCGGCCCATAAGCCTTGGCAGCGGAGGGCTCGTGGGTTTCCAGAGGTACATCACATCTCAATTGTGGAAGAGAGGGACTCCTTTAGGCATCCTGAAATAAGACCAGAGGGAAAAGTTTAAAGACCACGAATGCTCGTCGTCTTCAACTGGCCCTTCCCAAACCTCGGTCCTGGAAGAAGTTCGGCCAGGGGGCTCCTCAGAGATAAGGATGGCGAGGCTTCTCCTGATATACTTTGGACACGTTGTCAGGAGAGACCAGTCCCTGGAGAAGGACGTCCTATTTGGTAAAGTGGAGGGGAAGGCCCCCCTGTGAGATGGACTGATATGGTGGCTGCTGCCATGGGCTCCAACAGGACAACTGAGGACACACAGGGCCCTGCAGCGTCCTCCTCCTGTTGTGCACAGGGAGCTCGGGGACAGACCCCACTCGACGGCGCCTCATAGCTGCGGCACCAGCAGATCTAAATTCCACAACAGGAGGAGGACCAATGGCTCATTCTGTGGGGACTTTGAGGAGAGAATAAAAGCCCTGGGACAGCAGTGGGTTAAGCATGGAGCTGTTAACCTGCTGGTAAGGGTTCAAACCCTCCAGCTGCTCCTTGGGAGAAAGACGAGGCAGTCTGCTCTCCGAAAGAGTCCCAGCTCGGTCCTGCAGGGTGGGCGGCAGTGGGTGGGGGTGGTGGATGGAGGGAAGGCCCGATGCAGCTTGAATCAACAGATGAGAGAAAGCTCTCACGCCTGCTTGCTTTCTTCTGCGCTCGAGTTTGGAATCATTGGTTTGTGCTAGAGGAGGAAGAAATTAACCGCTCATAAAGGCTCACTCGGTTGACAGGGAAGCTGGTGAGGTCTCATGAGTCAGTTCGGTCAAAGGCAGAGAGAGGGAGAGAAATCCCCCCCATACACAGGCAAACTGATATATGCACACACTGAGCCATGCAGCCAGGTGCCCCATGGGAAGGGCTCTTGCCATCTCACTAATGTCTTGTAAAAAAGAGTCTTAGTGCTGCACTGGCTGAGCCCAAAGGTTGGTGGTCCAACCCACCAGCTGTTCAGCGGGAAAGATTTACAGCCTCAGCAAGCTTCTGCAGGGCCACTCACTCAGCCCTCACTGCCAGGGAGACCAGGCTGACTCACAGTGAC